AGTATCTACCCTCGCCGTGACTGATCGTAGTAGTGATTTGTTCGACAAGAAATACTATAAGTATGAGCTTGTCCAACACCAAGGCACGCTTCTAGACGCCTAAAAAAAGATTTCCAAGCATTATTGAGGTTCCGCTTTTTTTTCCTATCTACTCTAGTGACCTCGAGGGGTCATACTAGGTACACCGAGCAAGTGGGTGAGCTCACGGGACTCTAACTTGACGAATTTGCTAACACTAGCCCTAGCAAGGGCAGTGCTTCGCAGAATCTACCACCGGATTGAAATTGCGACTCACTGAGAACACCCGGCGAGAAACTCAGTGGACTGTGTCTGAGGGTTGAGCGTCCGCGGGGATTTGCTGTTGTATTTAAAAGCGTTACTTCCTCGATTCCACTTTAGTAAATTCAAAGAAATTATCGTTTATATTTATTGCACCACTACCATATTTTAGGACGAAGTAATCATGTATCTATTGAGTCGAGAAAATTTTCATGCTGTCTAAGGATGTGAGAGTAACTAATTAATTCGAATTCACTCCTGAAACGACGGACTGTCTAGGCCTAAGGTAACACACAAACAAGAAATAAATTGAGATCGTCACTTCATTTTGAGTTTCTCCTCTGTCCTATCATATTAACAGTGACAGTGAGGTACTTCATGACTTCAGCTATTGTCTACCGGCCATCTTCCGGTTTTGTTTTCATGGCTGGTAAGTTTATTAATGGCGCGGGCTCATACACCGTCCAAAAATTAAACAAATGCGAATAGGTATAAACGAATTAACATACATTCAGAATATTTACTTAAACTTTAACCTCATCGAAGCGCCCACCCTTTTCTCTTATTATTTTTCTCGTATATTAGGTATATTTAGGTATTTTATAAGTATTTTCAAATAGCCTTTATTTAGTCTGTCGGTTATCCTCACAAAACTAAACCCTCAAATTTCAAAATTTGATTCGTAGGTTCAAAATATATTTTCCCAGTGATATATTATCCAATTTTATACGTCTTTGCCCATTCTAGTCTATTTTGATTATATCAAGCACATAGTTAACCAAAGCACTTTTTAACACCATCCCATCCTCTTAGTCCTAAGACAGTAAAATTCTTTTAACCATTGTTTTGAAATAGGTATTGCTCGCGTATCATTCACACCTGCGGTTAAAGCGCTTTACCGCTCTAATGTAATTTGCTAAAAGTACCGTCATAGTGGTTTTCGAAATCTTCCGAATACAGACTTAATATCACAACCCTCGCGTTACAATGCTCAATCAACAGCGACTAAATATGGTCCAAAAAAGTTAAAACTAGCAAAAATATTCTGCAAAACTACGCCATTTCATAAAAGAAAGCAGCGGACGGACTAAGTCATAAAACACGTGTTTCGTCAAAATTAAGGAATTTGTTACCAGACAGACAGATACCTGTTAATTATCCAAAACAACGCGTCATAGCTCCTTCATACATCAGCGAATTTCTTGATTACTTTTGACAATAATAAACGCTGTGGCTCCCATGATACAAAGTGATCACTGCCGTCCATAATGCCATAATTACTAGATAAAACAACAGTGTTGTAAGTGTCCAAAGTGCGAGTTTACATAAAATGACATAAATCATTGCGTAAACGTCAGCTTTTTTTTATTTTTTTTATTGCCTTTGTAGGCAGACGGGCATGCGGCCCACCTGATGGTGAGTGGTTACCGTCGCCCATGGACTTCAGCAATGCCAGGGGCAGTCAAGCCGCTGCCTACCGAAAACAGTACAGCTGCATGATCGGGAAGAGAAGGGGCATTAGAGAAATTCTGGTCGGGCTTGAAGTGTGAGGCAGTCGTTATACAATACAATAATTGTTACTTCGACTTATCAGGTATGACGGTATTTACGTAATGTCTATGGCTATAAAGTGGATGTGTAACAACCACTTTTATAGAGATCGATCGCCTGTTTATTTAACATTGCGGGCTAAAACAAAAGGTTTAAGTTGCAATAATTTGTTTTGGACGCTAATTCATAAATTGGTTGTCTGTCAGGTAGCATTCATTTAGGTTTGCTTGCCAATGCTTGCAATATTTAAGACACTTGTGACCGGCTGAACTAAAAAGTAGAAAATAATTTTCAACAAGTAAAAAAACAATGGAAAAAGCTTCGTATTGCAAAAATGCGTGGGTTATATAGTATAGATGTCAATTATATTAATTTACCGGTAACATCATTACAATCGTTTAATTCAATAAACGCACTTGTAAATTCATGGATTTTTTTGTAAGCTCTTACATAGTTATAAAGCAGTATTCAAGTGTTATGTATATGTCACGATGGTAGTTATTGCCATACCATTGGCCATATACGAAAATGTCTTTTAAAACTATTCATTAATGTACGTACATATTAAGTATAGGAGAAACTGCATCAAAAGTAACTTATCATAACATTACAATTTATTAGTACATAATAATACACATTCGGTTTTGTGAATTCCCCCACAATTCTTAATTTCACTAAATGTGGCTAAATATTTAAAAGTAACTGAAAATTAGTCCGTGACATTGTAGATAATGAAAACATAACAAAAATCTGTTGAATTCTAATCTTACTGTTATAATAAGTGATTTCTATAATAAAATATTAATTCCCTAAGTGATTTCTATAATAAAATATTAATTCCCTGCAAGTGTCAGACTTGCCAAATTCCATTGGTATAATGTAGTTTTAGCTTAAATTTTAACCGCACAAAAACATTTCCACTGAACTCGTAAGTATATTAGAAATTCAAAGTTGTTCTTTTTTTCTTTCGAAAGTGGTTCTGAGTGATTACTTTAATTGTGTAGTAAAACGAAATCTATAATATTTTGTGATGTCGAGCGCTGATGAACCAATTCCGCATCCTCTTCCTGCCGGATGTAATTAAGACCTGTCTAATGACAATATGTAGATCCATTAATCTGATGCAGGACATCATTTAAGTGCTTCCTGTCCAGAACAAGTAGTCTTGAGTAATGTACAAACAGGCGCTGCGCATATTATGTTTATATTGTTTTTTTTTAGGGTAAAATGGCTACTGTATGATTTCGCAGGGTTAAAGGTGTTTTTATTTGTGAATGTCAGTCAGTAAGCCTAAATTAGTTTTCATTATGGAGTACATTAGTGATTTAGATAGTGTTTTTTGTTCGTAATAGGAAATTGTGTTTCTAAACTTGTATCATGAAATCCATTATTAAATATTTTTATATCCATTGATTTACGGCTTTGAATTTTCTTTTCAAGTTTTCGAAGTCCTTAAATTTGAGCACAAATCGGTAGGTACTGATTATGTGTGGTGCATTTAATTAACGTTTGATTTTCCATTAACCTTAGAATTAATTAAATAATTACTGAATACGTTTTTGTATTTATATATATTTTTTTTAATTGTTGACTATGAAATTTTATTGGATTGAGTTTTCAGGTCAAGTATTTATGCAACAAATTTAAAAAGTACGTCTGATTAGTTGGTATGATAGATATTTTATATAATTGTGCAAGTGCATCCGTGCAATGATTTATATGCAGTGTAAAACGAAAAATTATTTTGAATACATACTATTTTTTTAGATAATTGTTTAGTTTTGTAAACGAATCGAAACCTAATAATTAACAGTACTTTAATAGTTATTTATAATGTATTATACTATAAAAAAAATACTCGGACGAATTGAATTGTAATACAAATACATAGGATGGACAATACATACATACATACATTAATTGCTTACAAAAATTTTTTTGCGTCCGTAGTTCAGCTTTCGGCTTGAATACAGCGGATACACAAACTATTTGGGTACTAGACGACTACATGAACACACTTTATGTACTCCTTAAATTCTTGCATTTAGGACGTAGTATCTCGAGATTGTGCGGAAAATATTTAGGTATTGATAAAATCACGTATAATACGTGACTATAATATTCGTTATTTAACGTTAATATTATATTCAAACGAATATTTTAAATTAATTAAATAATTAATTGATTCTAACAAATTTTGTTTTGCTTTTGGGTACTGTATTTTTTAATTTTTTAAACTCCCTTTGTGCAGTAGATCAGGCGTAATAAATCCAAAGACAATTTTAAGACTGGTCGTTTATTAAAATATAAAAAAAATACATTTAAATGCAAACAATTGACATTGTAATTATTGTAATGAGCTGCGAATAAATAACATTAGTAAAAAAGCACAATTATTAGATATCACAATTCGTCTTCGTCATCAATTTTAGAGATTATGCTAGGCATGATTATTATAGAAAATTAAAAAGAGCACTTATGAAATAATTTCAATGCTTTTATGCATCACTTAATCTATAGGTATGTAAAAAATTAAAAATTAAAGCAACAGACGAGTATGTCTGTTGGGAGACTTTACTCAATAATTGTAGGGCTGTCACGATTACTAAAATTATAGTGTATATTTAAAATGAAGTAGTTTAAATTGTGTACTTACAATATTTTTTATAATTATAATTAAATTCATGAAAATGTCCACAAGTGACCCATTATTACAAATAATTTTATTTTAAAGATGAATTTATTATCTGAGTTATACATATATAACAACAAATCTAGTTATCTAATTAAAATGAAAAAGCACTTCATTTAGGCAATAGTAGCGCAATATTTAACTGTGTCTAAATGCGGCTACGGCAAGGGCCTTAATACAGTCGGACCTCTGTGATGACATTTTGTTAGTCCAGACAAATCTTTGTGTGTACTTATGCTAAGATCGGTATCGCTACACAAAAAAACACACTTGTCTGTTTTTGACGTGACAACGTCTTATAATTCGATGGAGCCGGCTGCGCGCACGAAAAAACATGACTCGTGCGGCGTTACTTCGCTCTGAGGCGTACATGTTTTCGTCAAGTATGAAGTTCAGTGAAAAGTGAAAATGTGGTGTCAATTGTTTATAGCTACGATAATTGCGATTATAATTGAAAATTGAAACCATTCCATCAGTATTTTCTTATGACGTTGTCACGTTCAACTATCGTCAGTAAACCGACTTTACAGACAACCGATTTTTTTTACTGTGTTATAGAGTAGGTAGGTATATAGTGTAGTACTAGTAGTGACTTAGTAACGGAAGTGTCCTTTGCGCGATCTCTCCTCATGGTAGACCCGCATCGGAGAATATGTACCATTCGATGCTCCGTTGGTATTTAGTCCTGAAAGAATATTTATTATTAATATACATTTATCAACAAATCAACTTTGGAACAGTAAAATCTAGTTTACCTTTTGCATCAAGAAGTCCATCCACTGTGGAAGCTTTCGGAACAAACAATGATATTTCATCATGACATTAAATTCAAAAGTCATATAATACGGTTTAGTAGTACAGTATATTTTTATAGACTGATATTATTGAAAATACTTTATTTTCATTTGTTTGTAAGTTTCACAAATTATTTGATACTAGCGACCCGCCCTCGCTTCGCTTCAGAAACATTAAATTTTATTATTGATAGTAGAGTCCCGCGATGTCACCCGCGGTTATTGTCGTACTGCGGGCGACGCCGCGGGGCGAAGCTAGTCTAAAAAAAGTAGCCTAAGTTACTCCTTATATCATCAGCTACCTGTCAGTGAAAGTCCCGTCAAAATCGGTCCAGCCGTTCCAGAGATTAGCCGGAACAAACAGACAGACAGACAGACAAAAATTGTAAAAAATGTTATTTTGGTGTATGTACCGTATATATATTCATGTGCATGTAGTAATAAGCGGTTATTTCAATATTACAAACAGACACTCCAATTTTATTTATATGTATAGATTGACTAATGAATCGAATTAAATTGAATGAATACTCACCCTGTAATAAATGTTGAGGCGGAGAGACTGCTTGAGCTGCACATCGCGGAGCAAGTAACAAATGATAGAGTGTCAAATATATAGCAGCTACCAACAAGGAAACTACACCAAGGGCTTCGTACGTTACACGGGCAGATTGCAGCTGTAACGACACCATCCCACTAATAATAGCTCCAATGCAGCGTCCTAAAAAACCAACGCCATCTCTGTTTATTAAATGGTCCGTAGTCATCGTATGCAAAATGGATGTTACTAAATTAAAGGAATTTTAGAGATAGAATTAATGATTCTCCTCTATTGTATCCTGGTATTTTTGGTACCTACTTACCTAAACAGAAATGAGCGATGACTGGTAGTGCTTGTCCTGTAGTAGTGTACTTGCGAGGAATCAAGTGACGGAAATATAGTATTGCAGTCACCCAAACCAAACTAAGTGTAAACACTTCCAAAATTTCACAGACTGCCACCAAACTGTATTCGTTACTGCTAGCCAAACCTGTAATTTTTACCAAATACATGTGGTTGTCATTAAGATGGGTGGTGGCCTCGAATCCATCACCAAACATCTGAAGTCAGCGTCGGAACACTACTTCGATATGGTGATGCGACGAGTTAATCGCCTCATCGTGGCCGCTGCTGACTACTCCATGGAACGAGCTCACTCAAGAGCCAGTCGTCGTTGACACCCTAGGCATATCCTTACGGAACCATTAACACTCTTACTAGACGCCTGCAGTTCTAATACTGCCTCTGCTACACATAAAGGACCCTAGTAATCGTACTCGTTGAGTTCAACGTGAAATCTAGCCAAAGGGACTAGCCCGCTGAATATTTCCGCACTCGTTCATCTGTCTTGGCGAAACAGGAAAGGCCTTAGGGCCACCTTCCTTCCTTCCATCCTTCTGTTATGGGTGACGGCATTAACATTGTGTGGCATTAACATTTTTTGGGTTCCGGCAGCTACTTAACAGTAATTTGGAAGTAAGCTTGTTCATCCGTCTAGATAAAAAATATCTTTATATATTAACGGGAAAAATTAATATTTTCAAATAACATTAATAGCTCATGGTCTCACTATGAATCCAATTTTTTGTGACTTTTAGAAAGGACCCAATGCTGGAGGCTTTGATACCTCTCGGCTTTACCAGAATGGGTCGGCGAACTCTTGCTCAACTACGGGGTGGGAGTTTGCTAACAACTGTCCGAATGCCTCCAAGAGAGGCTTATTGGCTCAAATTTCACCTCCCGAGTACATTTACTACCGAATTAAAATAGCGACACATTGGAAAAATCAGATTAAAATTCAGCAGGATGGTGTTATGGACATCGAACAGTTTTAAGAGAGTTTTTGTCTGTATGCCAGAGCCACGATAGTGACGAGCAACGCGCAGTATCATTTGGATCAAAACGTCTTGGGCAACGACGGTTTTTGACGCTACATGAGCAAAGTCGATGGTGTAGTTAGCGGTGAACACGTTAAGGGAGTTATTATTACGTGAAGTAATGTTCCAAAGTTGTCTTCATACGCTTACGGATGCATACATGATATATGCATGCGTGATAGTAACTGTATCAGAGAGGAAATTATAAGCAAACAGCTTACAACTTCGCATGATTCGAGCGTAAATCTGTTAAAAGCGCAGTTTTGCGGCTGACGCGTGTTACAAAGACACGTACCAGTGTATCGAAGTCCGTAAAATGTAAAAGCTAAGATGAATACATTGGAGTGTCCAATGTAGTCTACAAGTGCTTCGGCCCACCAGAGCGCCGGCACGGCTGGAAGTGCGCCCGCGGTCAGCGTCAACCCCACTTCAGTATATGTGCCGTTCATCTCCTCAACGGTCCTGAAAATAGAAAGTAGGTAGAAAAAAAGAAATAGAATTTTGAACTGGTGGTAGGTTATGTAAGTCCGTCTTGATACAATTTGGTATATGTCGGCCACGTAGTAATCACGTACCGGCTAAAGGGCGTAAGATCCATTGTTTTAAAGGAACATTTAGACGCCATGTCCTATCTGAGTACAAAGGTATCGTTGTTTTTGACATCTCTGAAACTGCGTGTTACTTACGTAACTTGAATTGTATGAACAGGTACCTATTAGTGATTGGAAAACTGTACTTTTTGAATTTTTTTTTATTGCTTAGATGGGTGGACGAGCACACAGCCCATCTGGTGGTGTTAAGTGGTTACTGGAGCCCATAGACATCTACAACGTAAATGCGCCACCCACGTTGAGATATAGGTTCTAAGGTCTCAAGTATAGTTACAGTTACAACGGCGGCCCTACCCTTCAAACCGAAACGTATTACTGCTTCACGGCAGAAATGGAGAGGGTGGTGGTACCTACCCGCGCGGACTCACAAGAGGTCCTACCACCAGTAATAAATGTCTATTTTTCTTTATTTATTATTTTCTAATGCATCCTATAAATATAAATAAATGGATGGAAAAGAGGTAATATCGTGCTGTGCTGTGAACCTACCACGGAAGATATGCGTCGATGCCGCTCCACAGAATGCCCAGTAGAGCTACCACAACAAAAACTGCAGCAGTCTCGGCTCCATACCGGCGCACCACATTCATGGGCAGGGCCAACACTCCTGTCGCCGTGTGCCACCACCATTCCGGCGTCGATAGTGGCATGTGACTGTACCGAATCAAAATTCACGTTTTATCTATATATATAAAAATGAATTGCTGTTCGTTAGTCTCGTTAAAACTCGAGAACGCCTGGACCGATTTAGCTAATTTTGATGTTGAATTATTTGTGGAAGTCCAGAGAAGGTTTAAGGTAGATAAATATGAAAATGCTCGGAATTAAATAAAAATAACAATTTTGTTTTCCCTTTGATGTGTCCCCTGTCGGACGGATTCTTTTTGTTTGTTTTAAGTTTATTTTATACAAAAGTTTAGGTTTTTTATTTAGCGATTGAGGCATTACGAAGTCAGCTAGTTATTAGATAAATTCATAAAGTCATGCTTATTATTTATCTGTAATTTTAAAACTGTTCAATCGATTTTTTTCCCACCTAAACCGATGTCTGTAGATAATAATACACTTAATATAAGACCCACGAACGATTTCGTTGCGAAAAATAGTGTCGATCCACTGTCGCGTGTATCAAATGGCTTTGACAGGGAACCGCGCCCCTGCCTAACATAGACACGTGATAGCGTTCAGAAAACAGCAATTAATGATACAGGGGAGGGGAATTCACTATAAAATCGTGACAAAAAAAACCTGATACAGCCTGTGTAAACTATATTGAGTAAAACTACTGAACAATATTAATTATTAGTTCAAAATTATATCAACATAAATCTGAAAATTAATGAAGTTCTGAATCAATTCGCGTTGAATATGGAACATATCCGTATTAAAAAACGATTCGCACACCTGTTAAGCGTCAACGATTCCTTATTTCCAAAAGTGATAAATGTATGAATATCAATCCACAACGAACAGAAAAAAAAAGAATGACAGAAAGATACGTATTCAAAATTAAATGTAAAATAAATCTTACTGGCTTAATAAATATTTAGCCTACTTTCCCAGTGTACCTAATAGTGATGGCGCGAACTTATAATAATTTTATGAATTTCACTAATTTATCACAACTGCAATGTAACTATTTTAGGATCTGCAAACATTGTTATCTTATTTAATTATTATTTTCATATTTAATTCTTACTAACAAAATGTTATGGTTTAAAAAAAACTGAAATAAAGTTTTTTTTTTATTGCTTAGATCGGTGGACGAGCTCACAGCCCACGTAGTGTTAAGTGGTTACTGGAGCCCATAGACATTTACAATATAAATGCGCCACCCACCTTGAGATATAAGTTCTAAGGTCTCAGTATAGTTACAACGGCTACCCCACCCATCAAACCGAAACGCATTACTGCTTCAGGGCAGAAATAGGCGGGGCGGTGTTACCTACCAGTGCGGTAAATAAATAAATAAATTACTCACCTGTCAAATACTAATATTAAGGCAGCCAATATCATGAAGATTGCGTGTAGAATAAACGGAACAAGATATGGGGTGTCGGGCATTTGATCAGCGGCTAGTCCGGCCAGCGGCGGGAAGATAGCCAGTCCCAGTGTACCGAAGGCGATTTGTCTGCCAACGTCACCTCGACCTAACGAGGTCTCGCGAGTTGCTATCACACACGCTGTACTGAGTAGAGCTAATGCGGCAGTCGGCCATATGTCTGCGATAGATCTGAAAATTATTTTCCCATTAATTTTATAGAGATCATAAATGTTAATATTGTGTATTAAATAAACAGAAAATTAATGGGTATATATATATACGTTTAGAATTGACATCGTACCTAATAAATTCAACGAGTACATAAACAAAAGAAAACAAAACAATGTGAGTGAGTAGGTACATGAATAGATTATCTCAGGAAATAGGAAAAACAACGGAGGTGATTCATTATTTATTGTATTATAATGAATCGTTTGAATGAATGAATCAATTTACAATTGATTTCAATGATGTTCAAATGGCATTGTTGTATTTATAACTGTCAGGCTTTAGCAAGGCATGCATTAGATTTTAAATCTTAACTAATAATTGTATACCTGAGAATAAAATAGGCCCAAAATGATGAAGTTGGATCTCCTATTACAAGTCTACATTCAGCATCCGCTAAGACACCATCAGGTTCATCGTATGGGTCAAGGACTTGACACCTAACTGCCGGGGTGCAATCATCGTCTTGGTTCATCTCAGCTAATCGTTCTGGCGGAACCAAGCACTTCGATGGACCAGCTGAAATAAACTCAGATTTTAAACCTGTCCATAAAATTTGCTCAAATTTCTCGACTACCGTTTTACATATCTCACTGAAGTTTGAAAAACATCTAAGATGACGAAATAATTGCAGACAAACCTGTTTGATAAGTGCACCAGTTAGAGTCAGCAGTAGAGTTGTCCTCGGGCGGATCCGGCGCGATCAAGGACAACGGGATACGCAGACGTGCGACATGTTGCATGTAGACATTACATTCACCGTTGTAACACAGGTGAGGCGGGTTTAAATCGAAGTGAGTTTTCTCACGAGCGGCTTCGTCAACGGAGCCATTTGTCTGTGCCTGTGTTTCGAAAATTAAAAATATAACAATCGGACAAATATATGTTTTTTTTTCTTCTACCTATGCTGATAGCATTGAGAGGCTATATCAGTGTTACCCTAGCGTGTAGGTTGGACCAGATAAACCAGGAGCTGTTGCTAGCACTGGCCCTAGCAAGAGAAGTGCTTCGCAGAATCTACCACCGAATCGGAAACACGACCCACTGAGAAGATCCGGCGAGAAACTCAGTGAGCTGTGTCTATGGGTTAGTTTACTCGCGGAACTCTTCGTCGCGAGCGACAGGTTCGACGAGAAAAAGTACATGTCCGATGACGCACAGTAAAGAGTTCCGTAACCAACTTTAATATTCACGGTTCATATTCCTAGTATCTATTTAATATTTACCTAATATTTTACAGAATGTCCCACTTAAAAATAAAAGGCGTATGTTAAAAGCGCATTTATCAGAATTTATTAGTTTTAGTAAAAGAGCTCATAAAGAAACGTCAATATTATTATAATTATACATTAATTATCATTACATCCCTAATAATGATAATCTCAACAAATCATTTTCTATGCTAACGGTCTTAAAACAGAAATGGGTGTGATAACAAAAAGCTAACTACCATCGAAGTGTTCATAGCTCTGTAGGTGTAAAACATGAATAAACCGTCATGACGAAAATAATAACGGTTTCTGTTTTCGTTATTCGATTATAGTGCCCTAAAAATTACAAGCAGAGCTATAACTAAAACACTAACACTACTACAACCGGCGAATTCGGTTTGAATATACAATTTTTAAAACTTTTTTAATTAGAAAATATATGAATGGATTCATCATGTGTACGATAAAATGTTATTTTAAGTCGGAATGCATTTTCNATGACGAAAATAATAACGGTTTCTGTTTTCGTTATTCGATTATAGTGCCCTAAAAATTACAAGCAGAGCTATAACTAAAACACTAACACTACTACAACCGGCGAATTCGGTTTGAATATACAATTTTTAAAACTTTTTTAATTAGAAAATATATGAATGGATTCATCATGTGTACGATAAAATGTTATTTTAAGTCGGAATGCATTTTCATAGCATAGGCACATTGGTAAACTGGTAACTTTGAGACGTGGTAGGTATCGAAGTTTCAATTATATTGTGTAACGGCTCCCAGCTTTCAAACTAGAATACATTACTGCTTCGTGACAGAATTAAAAATAAAGTTCGTAATTACTCGTGGGACCTTATATACATATTTATAATTTAGGTGGGTTTGATTTTAATTACACGATGTTATTCTTTCAGCATGGATAACGTTTGCGAAAACGTGCTAAATACCTACGTTTATCTTTAGACAATTTATAACTACCCGCGGAATTAGAACATGGTCATAGTTACATCATTGTGCATCAGCCGTCTTATCTTTTAGACCACGAAGGCTGTCTTTTCGGCCATTAGTTATAATTCGCGTGCAGCCAGTTTACTTTGAATAAAAGTACAGACATAAATAATAACGGCTGAAAAAGGGAAGAAAATAAACGTTTTCTGTGTAACTTTTTGCGACTTACCGAAGCGTTAACCAGTGTGTTGTACATGGGTCTTAACGTAGTGGTTGTCGACGTGGTGGTGAATGGCTGGCGGATCCAAGTCATGTTCGGATCAGCGCAGCCGTATTCACAAGATCCAACTGCTAGTACTCCTGACTAATGATAATATTAGGTTAAGAACGAAATATTTACCCAAGCTCGATTACTCAAGGCATCAATTAAAAAAATATATTTTCATGCGTTTACGTCCTTTGCAAAGAATAGATAAATATAAGGTAATTTAATAGACTTGATTCTAACGTACCTTCTCACCTGACCAACGATTGCAACGCATGTCCTCTTTGCAAACTTCTTGCATCACATACGCGCTGTCCGCATTACACATGAACAGAACTTGAGGCCGACGAGCCTGTGGGAATACAATGTTGTTTGAGTAATATTTAACAGATAATTTGTTCTATCTTTATTTTACTCAATATTAAAACGAATATTTTGTTAGTTTGCTACTTTACGTGTCAAAATAAATGATAAGAAAATGTGATAAATTGTTTCCAACTTTCGCGTTGATCAAAGTCAAATTTATATACACTGTTTTTAATAAGTTCTTATAACGATTTCAGTTTTCATTTTCCAATATTTTCGATTTGTTACCAGCACCTTGATCAAGGGTAAGCTGAAGACCGCGGTTAGGAAGCTACGAATAGACAAATCATATCTATCCGTGGTCACTACCCGTTCTTATATCTTCACTTTATGTGACTAGTATAGTCGTTTTAGATACCCTAGAGCTAGGACGATAGATACCTCTTATAGTTCATTGGTCTTAGATATTGCGCAAGAAAATTGATAACTCCGTTGCACTAAAAACAGTGAAGTTATATGTGCTTGATGGCTAAGTTTTATATTCGAATTTACGAGTATCAATAATTCCGTACAAAGGTTTGGTTTGACTGGTAGTTTGTAAGAAGACTTTACTGTATAGGTAAACTAGGGACCCGCTCTCGCTTCGCTTCGGAAACTGTAATTTATTATTGATTTCTCCACTATTTAATGGATGTTATTATACTTATAGACCTCTTCAATCACTCTATCTATTAAAAAAACCGCATCAAAATCCGTTGCGTAGTTTTAAAGATTTAAGCATACATAGGGATATAGGGACAGAGAAAGCGACTTTGTTTTATACTATGTAGTGATATCATAAATAATAAATTAACCGCCTTGACATATCAGGAACTGACTAAACCTCCAAATAATGGTATGAATCGATTAAGCAATATAAATTTGAAAAAAAAAACTTGAATAAAAGGTACCTACCTCATGTCTTTCCGTGTATGGTACAGTGAGAAGTAAAGAATAGAAGATAGTACTGAGTATAAGGCATGTTGCTGTTACGATGCGCAGTAGTCGACCTGATCCGCTGCTACCAGCGCTTCCGCCCGTCGATCCCCTGCCTACTGATAATCTGATTTAAAAAAAAAGTCATGAAATATCAATAACATACTTTTATTTAAATGCAGAATATATTCATTACAGAAAAAAGTACCCTTCAACCATCTGTTGCCTTACAGCAATCAACGTACAATTAGTTAAACGATTTTAATTTTAATAGTCTACTACTAACGTTCAAATGATACGGGTATACGAACTCCGCCTTCTTGAGCTATAGTTACAGCCCTATTATCTATCATCTGTATTTCTGAGGCATTATGTTTGCAAAGGTTAAGGTAATCATTTAAAACCAATAGAGCCGTAAGCTTTTTGGTAATTTAGACGCAAATAACTAATTCAATTAATTCCATTAACGTGATTCGACCTTTTGATTTCCATATACATATTATAACGTATTATTCTAGGAAGTACTAGTTACAAATTATGACGTTATGACGTGACTTACTTGTCGATAAGTGGTCCCACTATAGCTGGACCTAGCAAAGCGATGCATGGTGAAACAGCAGAAATCAAACGAGCTTCGCCTTTATCCAATCCCACTGAAAGCATGTGCAGCGGAAGAAAGGGAAAAATGCAGCCCACCCCTGAAAACGATTATAATTAGTCTCTCGAAAAACCAAAAAATAATAGTTACTTATTCTTACGTATCATATCTTGTAATACTTCAAGACCAAACGCACTAAACAAAATACTTGATTGTTATTTCCTGTCAACAACTCTTCGCTTATTGTAATAAACGAACAGAATTGATTAACGACCTAAACTGACGCATCAATCAAGTTGCTGCAATTCGTGTGTTTTAAAGATGGCCTGTAGTGCAAATTAATAAAGTAATTGTGTGGCTATCTTTAAGCGACTGACACGTTTGAGGTGAATGTTCTTCGTATCAAAAACCAGAACCAACCACGTCGCACCCTGTACGGAAACTTGAATTGCGTTTCTTTAACGTCATTAATAAAGATGAGTGCAGCTGGACGATATATTGCAACAATTTTTGTACGATACTTAGAAACCTACTGTTTTAATTTTAAGTAGCTAGAATGATGACCAACTTCAACAAAGGTAACATATTGTAGCAATACAATAATTATGTAGGTATTAGCATACTTGAAATTCATGTGAAAATCGAAAAAATTAAAGTACCTATTATAAAACCTATTAAATTGAGTGCCTACTACCTGTTATACCTAGTACCTAGTGTACCTATTATATAGGTACGACGTTAATTATTATATACGATATACTGATTGTTCTAGATGTTAATCAATAATGTATTCATTATCATGTAATTTCCATTTTCGATTCAATTTCAATTTTACCCTCTTTCCAAACTTTAGAAATTACGCTTTTACCAAGTGAGTTTGAGCGGTGAATAAATTACAGCCAGCATAACCATATAGACATCTGTTGTTTTAATCAGCGACGCTCTCGATGGGCCAAACATTTGCCTAATATCAACGACTGTAATATGTAAATATTAAGCTATATATGAGTACGAACAAAATACTTACCACTTTCACTAGTGTCGCGGTAGTAATTTACATATTCATAAGATCGTATAACATTAGTAATTTGATAATACGCTACTTATTTACCTGAGAGAAAACAGAAGAGGACGCATTTTAAGGTGATGAGATTCTTATTTATCATTTTTTCCATGTTTTTGAGACTTTCTGTTGTTTGAAATATCCCTGCCTATCTTGGCATCTTGAATCTGAAACAAAATAGTATGAAAATACCATGAAAACAACAGCTTTTGGTACAAAATATTAATAATATCCGTTTTATTAAGTTTAGAATGAAAGACATGGCTCTTTAATAGATTGGGGCCACGGTCATTATTTACTCGCCTACGGATCTCGTAGTCTTGTCGCACCGTTTATTACATACAACGCAACGCCAATAGAAATAGAATAAGAATAACATAGAAACTGTTTGTCGCTTGTAGAATTTGGAACACACAAGGTACCTAATTTTTTGATAGAGTCTCGTTGTCACAGAACACTATTACTTCTAGCGAACGTTGTACAAAGAGAAATATGAGATTTTTATTTTAGTAAAAAAGGAGGTAGGTATACTCTGTCTCAAACTGGTTATGTAGTCATCGAAAACAATACTAAATTTAAGAACACAGATACTTAACTAATAAAAGAATCAATTTAATCCTATTCTTTGGTTTCTATTTAAATAGCAAAGTATGTTATTTTTATAGTAAAATATTAGGGAAATTCTAATAAATATTAACATCATTGCGTGTATAATCGGTAATTAAAAAATTTCATTCAAAGTTGGTTATTAATATCTAGACTATAAAAACTAACAATACTTAGTATTTTAGTGACTCTATCGTGATATCATTCCTATTTACGGAAATTACACAATAGCTTAATTATTAGTGGTCATGTCGTTCTATCTTCATGTGTCTTTTTATGTAATTTAAACTATGAGACTAATCGTTCCGACGTTGTTCGGATTCCCTGTTATACTCGTATGTATAAATTTGGTAAAGGGCACAAAACGTGGTATCTGGGTTACGATGATGTAAACATAAACATATTCGACCGTACCCTAACTTTCTCACGACAAAAACGTTTGGATCGTGGCATTCCGCCAATACATTAATGAAAATTTTCAAAGAATTATTGAATGCTGTCGTAGTCTGCCGTCATTCTATAGGTATAGGCTCTAAAATCAATGTTTCTAATCGCCCAGCCGTGCACACAATGTTTCGTTTAAGCTTTAGACCGAAATTCTTAAATTTTTTTGTGACTTTGTTGGGCAGGAAAATTCACTGTCTATCTGAAGGTAAAGCGATTACAGCTAATAAACAGCACAATCAGAAATAGCTGGACAAGCTTAATTATATTAGCTTACTTTTAGTTTTTCATTTAGGTATTTGTTATTGATAATCATGATATTTTTTGGACAGAAATATGTATATAATTCAATCCAGGTGCTATATTATAAGTAAGTATTAAAAACAAATATAAAGTATCTAAATAGTTCGACTGGATGGTGTAATTTAATCGAATAGCCGGTATTTTGAATTTGTCTCATTTCAACGCATGTTGCCAATGATTCGTTCGCGTGGCAAAAGATTGTTTGATAAAACAAGAAAACGAGCGACTGGGGCACGAGTTCGGTCATCGACTTTTGAATGCGTCTAACTTCGCGAATCGAATGTAATAAGAATTAAAGGAATACCTATGTTCTGTTTACATGTAAATATTATTATATTAATAATAAGTGAAGCAAAAATTTTGTGTCCCTTTTTACGAAAATTGCGCGGACGGAGGAGTATGAAATTTCCCACACTTATACAGAATATAGAGAAGAAGTGCAGAATGTTAATATTTTTCTTTAATTATGCATAAAACTACATTAAATGAATAAAAAAAACAACACACACATTACCATGTATTTGACAAAACACATTTAAATATATAATATGTATTTAATCTTTGTTTATGGTCAGACTTTTGTTACCTACTGTTTAAAGTCTATAGTAAAATTGAGAATAGAATAACATTGTTTGTCTTTAATAATATTTGTCTATAGTGTAGTCTTGGTGAAATCTGTGATAGTAAAAGTATAATAAACTCATAATTACAATTAATTATAGTCGAAATCCGACTATTGCGGGACCACTAGTTACATTAATGTACATTAAATTTTATCATAGATACCGTGAACGTCATTTCGTATTAAACAAATGGTTGTCATGCTGAGAAACCGTAACATTATAAAATGCTTTGTGAAAATGTCAGTGCTAATTGTCATCAATTATATGATTATATTATATTATATTATATAAAAATGCATATGTTGTTCATTTATTATTTTGAGAACGAGCAAATAGTAGTTCCTATTTGAATGCCTTTTTTTTAAACTATCAACTACATTTTAGATATTCTACAATACCGTAAAAAAAAAATATTTTGAAGACACTCAACTTTCTTAAAAGAACGACGTTTCGACAGCGGACATAGGACCACGTTATAATAAGGATTTTGCGCCGGGAGTGGGCGATGGCGTCACCGCTATAACCGTCGAAGGTCTTACCGCCCGCATTCATCACTTTAGAAAATACAATCGTGCCATCATAATACTTAGGCACTTTAAATAACCATGTAACGTACAAATTGCCATAAATATTTCATATATTTTCAGTTTTATAGCCGGCGACGGCGACGGTTCGCTACATCTATCGGTAAATATGTCTACGAAATAACACACATTTGATGAATACAACTCGTATGCTACCTGTCCTGAATTCTAACCTCCCTCGATTGCTAACAACTACATTACTTTCAAGTTTCAACTCAGACGAGCGAATATATAAAAACAAACAAAAACAAATCAATAAAAAAACTGAACATAAGAAAGAGGCTATGAATTAATATGGTGTTTTACTTAAATATGTACCCATTCCAAATTATTTACCAAATTTATTTGTTCTCTATAATCAAGACAAAGTAGGTACTACTGCTATGACTGAATGCATACCTAGTTATCATAGAAGTGCCATGTGCGGTATTAGACGGTATTAGATTTAGGAATGAACCACGGCATAGCATGATTTTACAATTCGTCTTACATGCTTGTGACGGTAACCGTTCAATATCGGTCGTGAACTCTGTTGCCCTTCTAAACTCAATAAAAAACTTACAAGAGTATATCTAGGTGTAAACGGAATTTCGTTCTAAATATTTAAAATTATTTCAGGTTATTATTATTTCACAATGATTCAGTCACTAATAAATAATAACAATGCCTAGTTCCATATCAGGTCGGCTGGAAGTTCGTCGAATGAGTCAAATATATATTGGCGTTCACATCAATGAATACTCGAGTTATTTATACTCAAGTCACGTTTGTTAGTTTAATAAGTACATTAATGTTGAAGGTTTCATTTTTTGTTTACTTTTGCCAGTACATTGGCAACACAAATGTATTCCCCGTTTAGCTATGAGCTCAGTCTCATTAAAATAAGTCATTTTAAATAATTTTAAATAATTGCATTAAAATAAGGGCTATTTACAACTGCTAAAATCCGGACGTGACAGCTACGCAGCAAAAATAGGCGGGACTATTATACCGCGTTTTAAGTTAGATAAGCCTTTATACAATACAAGTTAGATTCCAACTCCGTGTCCCAAGGGGATAATCTATGAACATCGGTCATCACTTATCTCCAGGTAGACAAATAAGCTTGCCTATGTATCTAATAAAACAATAAGAAAAAAGAAAATCTTCAAACAATTATCGACTACGATAATACATTATTGATAGAAGAAGACACAGTAATTGCAATAGCATATTTTGAAGTGTCATCGAATATTTTGATAGATGGGTAGCAGAGTTAGGCTAAGGTTAGGCGAATATCGCCTAAGAGTCCCCGTGCTGAGTTCAAAATCTTAGTTATTTTGCAATAACGACGTTTCTACGTTCCTACTCTTCTAAGTCAACTGCATCATGCATTACTTTACAGCAGAAGAGTGTGGGTACCCATCCATGCGGAACCTCCATCTGCCATCAGTACCCAACATGAAGCAATTTTTAATCTGATGTTTCCTCCAAATAAAAAAATATTGATGATGAAATTAAATTTATCTCAATAGGAAAACATGATAACCTTTACTTGATATTATTTTAATTCATCGCTATTTATAGCAATTAGTCATCCGAACAGTTTTCGTTNCAGAAGAGTGTGGGTACCCATCCATGCGGAACCTCCATCTGCCATCAGTACCCAACATGAAGCAATTTTTAATCTGATGTTTCCTCCAAATAAAAAAATATTGATGATGAAATTAAATTTATCTCAATAGGAAAACATGATAACCTTTACTTGATATTATTTTAATTCATCGCTATTTATAGCAATTAGTCATCCGAACAGTTTTCGTTCATAATAATTATATTATTGCAACAATGTATATTTTTAGAAACAGTTACTTAGGTAACATTCTTTTAAGAAGAAAAAAAACTAAGTGCTGTATTTATTTTAGGTCTTCTACTTCTTATTCTCACAGTGTTTCTTCGTTGTTGAAGATTGACCGCAGTTGTATTTTGAGCAATTCGGGACTGTTGTACTGAGCATCTCTATTTTAACATTCCTTCTTCAACCATGACTTCTCTCGCCGTCTAATTCTTCGGAACTCTTCCAGGAAGGTTTAACTTTTGCACCGTTATAAGTTGAATCTGAAATCTAGAAGGCTCAATCACGACATCAAAATGTGTAGCTTTTTCCTTTTTGATGATTTGCACCACCACCATAATGGCACGTGGATTTCGTCACGCTCTTCCAACGCCCACACTTCTGTTAGACCCGCTAAAACCATTGAGGCCACATAACAAAGTAAAATTGTCACCTTGAGATTAATGTTAATGTTCCGGCAACATATTATTTTATAACTATTTGAAATACGAAGGAGCAGTTTTGATTTTGTACTGTATTTATTGTGAAATCAGTAGCACGATTTTAGTAAGCACATCTTCGAGATTCTTCTATTGTTGGACTTGTCCTATGTCTAGACGTTTTCCGTTCTTCCAGCTTCCAACGAAAGATTGAAACAAGGTCTTCTTGAAATCACTCTTATTGTAGTTAAACTAGTTAATAGCTATCAAAACATTTAGATTTAGATTCAGAGGACAATAGGAGAGATAATATTCACTATTCGAATGCAATGTCGTGTAGTTCCTTATTTGGTT